AGGCCTCTGGTATGTCTACGCAATGATTTGAATCCACTAGATGTGAGGAAATAGAACTCGAAGTCGATCTACTTTCTCCTCTCTACAGCTGAACAGGTATGCACAGGCGTACCCTCTTCCTCAGTCGTCTCATTAAACGGCCCATATATTCCGCTTCGCAGACACCAATGAATGGCTAAGTTTACGTCTATGTGACCTTCAGCGGTGTCCTGTGTTTATCTTCCAAATGTAGGAGGGAAGATTTTTTGATGGATGCGCGTAAGTTCGCCCCGAGGAAACCACTCGTGATTACCGTCGCCACAGAAACGGATATTTTCACTGTCTATTCAACTGTCTTGGAGTGGTGAAAAACTACTAAAACATATATTTGCCTGAAAATGTTTTCGGAGACGTATTACAACGAACAGAGTGAAAAAGCTAGCCGAACTTCATGTGAAACCTCAGTCACTTCTCCGTCCCATCAACGAGAAGGGCAGGTTGGCAAGATTTGTTAACCTTTCCAAATGAAATATAACATTCGCGCGGATGCTGCGCCCACAAACTTCCTGGCGAGCCTACAGTCTACTTTACTGATCTCTGATGTGGCTGAAGACATGCGCGCAGACATACGCAACTGCGCCGCTGGTCTCCTTCAAAAAGTGAATCACCACCAAGTATTACCAATAAACGAAAAAAGGGGTTAGAGTCTTTAAAGATGATGACAATATAGTGATTGTGCCTGCTGACAAGGATGGCGCGACTAGTGTCATAGAAAAGACCACGTCAAAAAGGCTAACCAAGTGTCTAACGACAAGGAAGCTTACACACTACCCGCGGAAGACCCAAATAAAAATCGAGCTGCAGCCGTGTAAAATACGAAAGATGAATTTACTCGACTAAAGCTCATAATCCCCGACGACTTCAGATATATGACTCTCAATGATCCCCCGAACAGCCCATGCATATGACCTCCTAAAGGTGTAGAAAGAAGGTGCGCCACTGAGAATCGTAGTGCCGCTTATTGGATCACCCAACTACAACCTCGATAAATAGTGATACAGGAACATGATGCATCTCACCGATGGATGACAATATAGCGCGAAATGCTCTAAGACATTCCTTCAGAAGAACCAAGGCCTTTAAGTAAGTCCTGATGAGAGTATTCTATCGCTCGATGTGGTTGGCCCGTTTTCCTCAACAACACATGACCTGACGATTTGGAGCGTAACTCGACGCCTGCAAGATAATCCGACCAACATTGTAACACAACACGTTTCAGAAATGCGTAGACCCTGTCTCAAGGACTGCTGTCAATTCGATGGAAAGTCTTATCAAAAAGTTAGGTGTACAGCAGTGGGCTCTCCAATATCACGTCTACTCACAGAACGGGTACTATAACAACTAGAAGAGCAAATTAGGCGAACTTTAAAGTCAAAAATGGCGCAAATGATACATTTGTTATCATATAGACCAGTGAAGTTGAGCAATTGCATCAGAGTCTAAGTAGCGATTTCACAGCTATCCAGTTCACTCGCGAAGAGGGAACAAGGGGCATCCTCCCGTTTCTAGACTTTAGTATCCAAACGCTCAGTGATGGCGGCCTTGCAACGAGCGTTTACCGAAAAGACTCCAATACTGACGTCATCCATTATTATTAAAGCAATTATCCTGCGGCTCATAAACGAAGCTGTGTCCGAACCCCTTTCCGCCGGGCCTATCGTTACTGCAGCAGCGATGATCTACTGAAGAAAGAACTCACTTTCTTTTATCGGCCAGTCCGGTCAGCTTTGTGAAAAACTGACTTAGACATCAGAGACGGCCACAAGGATTTGGTTCTAATGGAGGAACAACACTACGCAAATTCTTCGCTCTACCCTTCCTGTAGGGCATTTCGGAAGCGATTGCCCGATAACTAAACCGGTTTAACATCTCCATTGCCCACAAGCCAGCGCCCCACTGAGCAATCACTCTCTCAATTACAAGACCCCATGCCCAAAGACCAGCAAACTAATGTCATCTACCGCATTTCGTATGCTAACTGCTCTTGTGATTATGCTGGTCATGCAGGCCGAAGACTTTGTATGCATATAAGCAAACACAAACTAGCCATCCGTCGACGTGACCCTTTGTCACTCATGTTTGCACACGCCCTTCAATTCGGTCATCGCTTCAATTGGGAAGGAACTGAGGTTGTTGCCATGGCTAACACCAAACAGGCTCGAGAATTCCTCTAAGTCCGGAACTCTAACACGAC